TGTATGTTTTCAAAAGGTCAGATTCAAAACAACTATATCCCGGTTAATATAACTATCTATGTTGATACAAATATACTATCATATATACATAATATTAACTTAAATACAATATTTAGCATGCGTTTCCCCCCGAAAACATTTAAAAGTTGGGTCGTGAAACTCACCCTAGTAGCGTGATTATAGAATCTAAACGGTCAGAGGCTTGTCGTTGTCAGGCTCAGGAAGGGAAACGGCCTTCGGAAACGAGAGAGAATGAAAGGAGAAGGTGTAAGGATTGAATGAGCTTTAATCGCTATTTATAGGCTGTTCTGGGCCCATTCACGTCGTGAACATGGTAGGTTCACGTCGTGAGTTATGGCAAGAGTAATCCGGTAGCCTTAACGCGTGTTTTCTAGCTCCGATTCTTGTCCTGCAGCGTCCTCACATCGTGATAAATCCTTGCTCACGTCGTGAGCTTTTGGGTTATCGTTCCGTAGACTTCTAGCTTCAAAATGTGGCGTTTTGACTCCTCACGTCGTGAGTTTTTATGCTCACGTCGTGAGTCCAGTCAGATTAGGGTTTCTGACAGCTGTATCTTCGGAAGGTCGTAACTTTTGCATACAAACTTTGTTTTTGACGTTCTTTATATCCACGCTTAGGTATTTACAAGCACTACAACTCTCTCTTAGACTCCAATAGCTTATTCTATGTCTATTTTAAATTCCTCTTATTATAGAGATTTATAGTGTTCGGTTTATCATAACTTCTTCATGCGAAGTCAGATTTAGACGTTCTCTATATTTTTGAATCGTATGGACGTATACTTTGAGTTGTATCATAAAAGTTGATACTTGTATAAGAATTTATCACGAATTACATAGTAAGTTTGTCACTTTACTAGTTTAACAAAACCACATTTCATGATTGGCATAATCACATGTGATTGTTATTGACCTATTTTGACTGGTGTTACACCATATCAGCTTGATGTGGTTTTATTTATATATATATATATATATATATATATATATATATATATATATATATATATATATATATATATATATATATTCCGTCTTCCAAAAAAAACAATAACACTTCTATTGTACCCTTATCCTGATTTACAAATCACAAATAATTATTTAAAGATGAATATAAGCATATATAATGAAATTACATTTATAATTATAGTAAGAAAATACATGAAATGATTGTGACTTACTCATTTGTGAAGACAAAGATAGTGCGAATGGGGCGATATTGGCTCAATAAAACAACCATGAAACCAGGGAACACCACAATTAATGTTCCAAGAGTGTTGGACATTGATGTCACATGGAATGCAAACATTTCACTCATATGGTTCTGCAATATCTATCATATAATAAGTAATTTTTAAAAATCATAATGTAAACTACCCAAACTTACAACAACAAAAAAAAGTTACTCAGTTTGATTTTGATGTCAAATCTTGGGCTAGTAAAAGTTTGAAGCTTTAAAAAATTAGTTAAGTATGTGAACTTATATGATACTTAAAACCTTAAAATTTTAAAAATCAATGAAGTAGATACCTTAACTGCATTTGCATAAGGAGTTCCCGGGATGTAGAGAGCAACATAAGTCTAATTACATCTTTATTAACCCATGTAAATCCTTCCATGGATGGATTTTTTCCAGTATAACTTAATGATGAAACCTAAATAATTAACAAAGATTGAAGAACATGAGCTACATTAGGAAATAATATAAGAGTATATATTTATATAATCAGTTTTCTCATAATATATCCGATAAAGGTTACAAATACCTTTTAAAACCATTCAAGATCTATGAGAAACTACAAATCAAATGAAAGTATAAAAGTTACGTACCTTCTGTTGGTAGAACAACATCACTAGTAGCAAGAAACAATCCCAAACTAACACATATAAGTTGAAAGGAAACCAATCATTTATCGATTCTCTAACTCGCTTCAAAACAGAACTTCCCAAGAAATCACATTTAACCCCAGAAGAAGAATCAAATAATTTGGAGAAAACATGAATTTGTGTGAATCTTGAAAGAATGAATCTTCCTTAAAACAAAATCAAGAACTGTGAAAGGAAGCTCGACGATTCCAAATGTGTGTGAATCTTTTTAACAGTAACCCACTGAACCCTAAACCAAATCAGTAGAAAAAGAAAGAAGGAGATTACTAGAAAGTGAAATTATAGATTAAAAGCAATACCCGGTTGAAGAAAACCTGAAGACGAAGATAAATTTGGTGGCAATATTAGAGAAAACTTGAAGAAAATCACAGAGAAGCAACAGATGGAAGTAGACAAAATCCTGAAATATAGGGTTTAAACATTAAAGAAAACATACCTCCTCAACTATGGAGGGGTTGTGTCGGCGAGTGCAGTTGATCGACGCTAAGATCGCCGATTGGTCAAGAAAATAAGTGTCGTCCATCATTCTGAAATCCGCGAAATTGAGACCTTTTGATGGAAGCAAACCGATTAATTATCCCGTCAGAAGTCGATGAAATTGTTGGATGTTTTAGGAAGCCGGAGTGATAGAAGATGAATCTGAGGAGAAACGATGGGATTGTGAGTAAACGATTGAGAAACACAAGGCGGAGGCGGAAGGAGTCGGTGGCCTTCGATGGTATGAGTCATGGTGAACGGAAATTGGAGAAAACATGAATAAACGGAGAAGATAGAGTTGAATGGTGAAATCAATCTACAGGCGGTGGGAAGCAGGTGAGAGAAAGTCTTATGGCCAAGACACGTACAGAACACGTGTCCAAGACACACAGCCAACCATTGACCAGTCAGCCTCAAGGGACCAAATTCAAGCCCCCTTCCAAAAGAAAAGCAAATAGAGGGCACAAAATGAAAATCACAACAAACTTGATAGCCAAAAGTGTCAAACTCCAAAGGTCACCGTTTCTAAGGAGTACCGAGTACATGCTTTTATATATATATATATATATATATATATCTTATACTATATTATAAAGCATATTAGTCATATCTTGAATTTAAAGAGGTATAAGTTACAAAACTTTTTGTACAAATCAATTATGCATAAATAATTCATCAATACTTACCAAAAGTTTGAAAACTTAAATTAAAGAAAAAAATTAAGAAATTCAATTTGGAGCAAATTGAAATTTTAAATATTTAATTCATGTATATAAATTAATTTATATTTTTTTAAACTAGACACCAATATTAATTGGTTTACATTAATAGTATAAATAGACAATATAAATATAAGGTATAAACATAAATACTTTATATAAAAGTGGTAATTTATTATTACATAATAACTAATAATAAAATCTAATAGTTACTTCTACATAAGAAACTATTCATCCAAAGAGTTATTTATCGTCGCCGCTTTGCGCGGGCACACATCTAGTATTTATGTATATATCTATATATATATATATATATATATATATATATATATATGTGTGTGTGTGTGTGTGTGTGTGTGTTTTACCCATGTAACACATGGGTTAATTTAAAAAATATATATATATATATAAATATCAAAATATTTGAGAACTTTGAATTCATAAGAAAATAAGAAAAAATAATGAATTATTACAATTGAAATGTTTTTTATATTTTAAATTTAAACAAATAATAATATAATATACTCTAATAAATGAAGGTTTTTTTGTCACAGGTCACATTCTCATTCAATTTGTGAAATGTCATTTTGTGGTTATTTTGAATAAGAGTGTCACATGTAGCAAAAAAAAATCCTCACTTATATATATATATATATATATATATATATATATATATATATATATATATATATATATATATATATATAGGCTTAGGTTATTCTATTCAAAGTAATTATTGTGTTATTGTATGCATAAATGTGGGCCAATCAAATTTACTTATTTTAAGAAAGTGATTAATATATATTATTGAATTAAATATAATTGAAAATATCATCTTAATTAATGACAAGGGTAATTTAGTCAATTAATATAGATTTAATAAAGGAAAATTGTATTTTTTAAGGGATCATAGATTCTATTAATTTTAAAAATCTGATTTTACTAATTATAATTCTTTTAATTCGGATATTCTGACAGAATATGTTTATGAGTATATTAAAAAATAAAAATATTCTTGAACCATAAATAATAAAAATATTCTTTAACCTATTTCTTGATAATGACTTTAAAACTTCTTGAAGAATAACAAATTATTGAACAATCAATTGAAGAATAAAAACAAAATATACATTATTTCTTATAGAATACGGGTAACAATTGTTAAACAATAAAACTAAAAAAACTTTCAAAACGGGAAAGAAAACATCAAAATCTAACAACGACGCTAATACATTATAAAAGAATAATGTTGCTTAGAATCACTTTCAATTTTGTGGTCCGTTCTTCAAGCATCAACTTCTGTGATTCCAACAGAATTGGAATTCGTGATTCCATTCCAACAGAATTGGAATTCATGATTCCATTCCAATAGAATTGATGGGCACTGAAACAAAATTTTCATAGCCATGAATGCAACATTAAGATGGGTACTGAAACAAAAATTTAGAAATGTGTGGAGCTTACCAAGTAATCAGATACTCCATGCTCAAATAGCTTCTCTACAGTATGAATTGCCCCCTCATTCCTGCATTATGTACAACAAATTATAACGAGTCACAAGTTCTATTTTCTGATGGTGGTCATAAGGTTTTGAATGTGCTTGTTGTTCCTGCACACGACAAGGTGTCCTCATTCTAATCATCCGACATCCTCTTCTTCTTGAAAGAAAAATTAAAAGAAAAAAAATATACATAGAAAGGGAAACAATAGCCTACGCAGAAGACAGGATGAGAGAAATTTCGTCATTTGCCCAATTGCATTAAAATCTAGAGTACAAATGATCCTTCTTTGGGATCAAATTCAACAGAAATTCAAGTTAACAACACATACAACAGCTATTGAAAGATATTATGGGCCAAACAACCGACAGCTCTGACTGTGTTTTACTTGTCAGAACTCAGAAATGGGTGTTTGAGTTATGGCTTCGCATTGCTTGCCTGAGTTCACCCGAGAAATCAATCTGACTCCCTGAAGCTCCAACTCCAACTCTACCTGTCTGAGAAATCATATGATGAGGAAGTCGAAATTGTCCCCATGCTGATGCATTGCTTCCTGAATACATAATCGGTCGCTTGGATAAATCAGTTGAGGGATTTTCATATGCATTGATAGCAGCTGCCCAACGGTTGTTAAGGAGTTGATAAGCTTCACTGCTACAACATCCTTGCAATCCAATTAAGCGTGGTGGATCAGCATGATCCAAAATAGGAACATTTCTTTGATTTTTATCCCCATACACACCATACATTAGAACAATACGTATTAAATACACTCAATTTCAGCACATAACACTAAACAAGCAAAAATAATCAGACATACTTGAACATGAGCATCGTAGTTGGTTGGGTTTGTCGAGAGCTCCGTTTCTAGGGTTTGTAATTCGAGAGCAGCTTGAGCTTCGTCGTCCGACTCCGAGTCGGAATTGGAACTTATAAAGGGGTAATGGCGGCTGGAAGGACAAGGGTGGGGGCGACGATGAATAGAAGAGAAGAGGGAAGAGGGGGAGGCGATGATATATACTAGAAATTGGGTTTTAAAACTGATATTCCTAAATTAAAGGGATATTAGTTGATTTATATATTTACCATAATTAACTAAATGTATGATTACATATTTACCCTTTTAAAATGATTGGCCTACATTTATTCATACAATAACACAATAATTACTTTAAACACCTGAACCTAGCATATATATATATATATATATATATATATATATATATATATATATAAGGAGTCCTGCACGGGACAAAAGGTGTCTGTCCATGTTCATGTGCAATTTAGTGGTATAACTCAGAAAACGGTTCCAAAAAATGGAAATAGAGGTACACATACTTAGACATTTAAAGCTTTTGTACATTGTGAAGGTCACATCACAGAATTTGACGTATATCAATTTCACTTTCCTTCCTACTATAAAAAAAATATAATTACATAAATTTGGACATTTTAAAAACTACATCATGCAATATTTTCAATTTTTCATTGTAGATATAGATGGATTGGCGAAACTCTAATATGATTATTGAATCTTTGGTTTATGACCATTAACATTTTGATTATTTGTCATTAACTACTTCGGCTCCATCAATGGTTCATATATCATCTTTGCCATCCATATAATTAAAAACTTATTTCTTTCCACTACCGACTGCCGTGTGCCGTCTCAGTTGACCCTAAAAAATCTCATCAAATGATATTGATATTGTTCCTCCCGTTGCAAACCCCTCCACTACTGAATGATCCCTCTTATTTTTATTATAAAACAGAATAAATATTATTATTAAACAAAAAATAACTAACAAAAAGAAAATCCATATTATTACCATAATAATCTACTTACAAAAATGATAAATATGTGATTGCACATACCAGTAATCGCATTGTGAGTTCTTCACCGTCAATACCTTAGCTTATTGGTAAAAAATGTGTTGTTACACCATCATCATTACTCTTCACAATGTAGAAATAAATTGGTGTTAGTGTCATGTCAGCAAAAACCGCAATTCCAAAGGATCCCAAAATTCCCCTATCGGTTGTAGTCGACCTCATGGTGCAACCATCTTCACCGTTTGTGCTATTTTTTTAAATGTTACCAATACGCGAGAAATTGTGATACAATTAATTTCCAGACACTATAATTACTATTCCTCATAATCTTTATAATCTAAATTAATGTTCGCATGTACTTATGTTAATCTCACATAGATTATGCAACCTCTTTTCTTGTATTATTTGGTAGTGAAGTTTTAATATAATCAAAATCAGACAATATAATGGTTTTAATAGACATAAAAATAACATAATGGTTTAGTTTTTTTGCATGAAGATAAAAACAATAATTTTTTGTCTACATGTGTAGTTGGGCCAATATCAAGTGGAACGATCGAACCCGGTTCGAGCCCTGAATAAAGGGAAACCGGCCAAGAGTTAAATACACTAATTAACCAAATGTATTTGAATACATTAACCCGATGTGTTGAAAATTGATTCATATTCTAATTTGAAATGCTATTTTATTTTATACACAGTTAGTTGTTATAACATTTATAATTTAGAGGATGGTAAAATTGAAAAATGTCATTGAACAGTATCATTTTTTCAAAATATTAAATATATACATAACTTACTAATATTGTCCTTATCTAGAACTTCCATGTAATGGTTTTGGTCTCTGCTAGCAAGAATATCTCCATTTACATTAGGATACAATGTTCTTACAGGACCATGAAGCTATATAAATGTGTATGTGGAAAAACACATAAGAGGTTATAAGGGCAAATTTGTCCAAATCATTCATAAGGCCAATAGCTTCTTTTTTTAAATAGTACATGGGTAAAGTGAAAAACTACCCTTATCTTGTAACACTCATAAAATCACAAGAAATTTAAACTTTTAAAAGCAGCCCAAATTCATAAAATTGTTTACAATCATTGTTTTCAAAACATTTTCAAACATCATAGACTTCCAAAATCATAAGTCATAAACCAAAAGGATGTGTACGGTCACGCTTTCGCCTTCCCGCGGTTATCCGAAGTACTTGAAACATAACCCAAAATTGTAAGCCAACGCTTAGCGAGTTCCCCCAAAGTACCGTCACATAACAAAAGCATAATAACAAATAACATGCATACAAAACCTTCAACCTGACTAGAACACTGCACCGGCCTACAGACTATCTGGTATGCTCACAAAACCTTCAGCATGACTGGTACGCCTCACCGGGCCTTCAGCCTATCACATCTTCTGAAAACATAAAATGACCAACTTTACTCTAGAAACCTTTTACAAGAATTTATATAGTTTATATGTAAAACTCATAAGTTTCGCATTTATAAACTTTGTAAAATCATGTCAACAGTAAGTTATTCTTTGAATTTTGTTCAGGGGTTAAGTGCTCAAAAAATAAACTCAAATTTGTATATATTCAATAATCTTATGAATGTCGATGCCAATAACTTGAGCTACACGATGAATACGTACAAACAAATGCAAGTAATAATACTTTCTTCTTAGTAGTGGCAAAACCTTTAAGGGGACAGGGAAGGCCATGACCCCCAGGTTTTTAGATTACTAATATGTAATATGGTCGTATATTTTCATTTGTAAAAAGTCAAAACTAATAGGACGAAACTAATAAACACAGTTAATTCTATAAAAGTAAATCGATGATACAATCTAATCTAGAAATTATTTAATTATTTACTCAATCTTTACAACATTTAAGAAACTAAATACTTAGAAAACTAAATAACTACGACACTCTTTAGAAACAAAAACAAAAACCCAACAAAAACAAAAACCCAACTCTAGTTTACAGGTTTTTCTTAATCTTCAAAACAATATAAAAACCCTAAAAATATATACCTACCGTTGAAATAGAATAACAACTCACTGGAAAACCTAGATCCTACTTAAGCGCAAATTACAAAAAATAATGGGGCTTTTAACTTTTCCATCAAATTTATCGTTGTTCGTCTTTCATTATTGTCGTCAGAGTTCTCCCTTTCTCTTCACATCGGACATGACAACAGTAGTGCAACCTTCATTCTCTTCTCCGCTGAACTGTAAGTACGCACAACCTTTCTCTCTCTATAAGTTCCCCATTTTTCTATCTTGCGGTCGGTAAAGAAAGAAGTGATGTGAGAACTCTTGAAACAAGGAGCCAAAACCCAAAAGTCTTAATATTAAAGATGCAAAGTTAGTATCAATTTAATAAATTTTTTTGTTTTTTTCTTATTTTATTGTTAGAAAGCTTGTTTTTATGTTACAATAGATACGATAGAAGAAAAAAAAACTTCTACCATATGATTTATTTGAGTTTAGCAAAAATATGAATCCAAAATTATTCTTATAGATTTTAAGAAATGTTCGTATGAATGAGCTTGGGAAAGTGAGAAAAATAATTTAGTACATAAAAAAATGGTTTTAATTCTAGCTTTACAGTGTTTGAGTTCTTGTACAACATGTCAAATGACTTCAATTTAAGCTATATTGTTTCACAGATTCACATGGCCCAACTCATTGGAATAAACTAAAGTACCGTTACAACGCCTTAATCAAACAACACCAAAAATCATGCATAAAATATTAAGCATTTCAGTGGTTATTAAGCTTTTTTGCTAGACCGGCCTTGTTATCTTTCGCCCCTAGTTCTAGTACCCTTTTTCCACCCCTGCTTCTCAGTTCTTACAAAATCATGCATTATTTGACTAATTTAGTTCATTCATTTAAAATTTAGGTGTTAATCTAGATATGACATCATATAACATCCTTCTAAAATCATGTTGCCTTGTTGCCAGAGTGTATTTGGCCAAAGAAATTTACAACGAGGTAGAGTGCATGCAATCAACAGAGTCGTTGAAGTTGGATGATGTCTGTTAGGCGTGTCAAACCCAACAAATAAAGGGGTATGATATACTCCAAAAGAACACTACAATATTGCACTAAAAGGTAGTACAAGGCAAGTAGGGTCGATCCACACAGACACGGGACAATCAGTCTATACCTCTATACGCAAGGTATTTTGGTCACTAACCGTAAATAGGGGGGTTTTGAAGGCAATGATTAGAACAACTAATTAAAGACAAAAGTAATTGACTAAATAAATGGATTAAATTCAGAAATTGTAAAGACTCCAACTCTATGTATGACAACTTGGCAATGTGATTCCAAAATGGCATGACACTCGCTCAATTCTATCTAAGTTGGTACTTGAAAGCGTTAACAAGCTCTAACACTTCCCATTCACCACATTAATTAACCAAAACAAGATTTTTGATTAACCCTAACCTTACTAACCTAATCTAAACAAGCTCTTAGAATTAGATTAAAAGATTGCATTAAGCTTTATGTGAATGTTCCCAACAACACCCAATACTCCTCACAAGCTCGGGAGTGTAAAAGTGTGTGAAAAGATTTACACTAAATTCATTCAATGGAAATCAATTTAATGCTTGTTACTTAGTCCAATTCACAAAACAATTACGGATTTTGCAAAATGAATAACTTGAATGACCTAAACCTAATTCAAATGGCCAATAAGAATCACAATTAGAATCAAACATTCGATTGAAGCAAAATCAATTTCACTAGATAGAAATTAAAAGCAAACATCAAGTCATATGATTGAAGTCACAACCAAGAAGTCAAAACATGAAGTTGGAGAAACTAGGGTTCTAGCCACACATGGCTAGAACAAAATCACAAGTTGTAAAGATGGAAATGATGTGCAATTACAACTTAC